GGGCCGTCCCCGGGCTCCGTTGCTGTGCTGCCCTCAGGCCGGCGGCCACCCAGCGGGCCGTGGTCTCCTCCAGACTCCCCCCTGAGCTGCTTTAATGGTCTCTGCTTCGGTGCTCTCCCCGTGAGCAGTACGAGGGGTGGGTTGCGATTGAGGCCGCTACTTGCGTTGGCCTCGAGTGCGTCCAGGGGCAGATCAGTGCCGGAGGCAGTCCTGCTGACGGTAAACAGCAAAATGTGTTGTGTGACCTTGATTTTCTCATAGTCAGTCCAACACGCTGCTTGGTGGAAGACCAGACGTAGCAAATGGCAGGGCAGGCACGTCAAAGCAGCCTTGTTCGCTTGATAAAGGTAGGAAAGACATAGACCAGCTGACATTGCAGACACCTCCTGAGACATAAGCTGCAAGAAGTAGTGAAAACTTCCTATCTAGGGAGGGAATTTTAGAGATGCATCTGGGCTGGGCAGAAAGCCGCATGTGAAAACCAGATTTTTCTAAAATGAACGTGATTTGGAATGATAGGACTAGCATTCTTCAAAAACACAGATGTGTAGTGCACATCTGATGTGTGCACATCTGATCTGTTCATTCACCAGACATGGTGAATGAACTTGACTTTGCCTGAAATTAATACCGAGGGGGGAGGTCTTTTGCTGTCACTATAGGGGGATGAAAGACACCAATGATGTCTTGAGGTAGAAACATCTGCGTGGCGACAGTTGGGTGGTGGAGGCACTAGAGGCATCTGCTTTACCTACATGATTTCTGCTCCTTTGGGAACCTGGAGGAGAGCGAGTGTTACAGAGAACAAAAGAGCAAGGAGTCTGATATGTCAATATAATGCCCAGAAACCCAAAACAGGATTAAATGGTGAAAGTCAGTGGTCCTGCACCCACGCTGGTTTGAAGGATAACAGAGAATCTTACCTAGGTTAGTTGTGCATATCTGCTCTGGGTGAACATTCGTTGAAAAAACCCCATCCTTGTCCTACTCTTTGTTCAGATAGCTCTTGCGTAAGGTGATGACACATCAGTGAGTAGTTATTTTATGTTTCTCATGGTGAACAGGAACTGTCTAGCGGAGAAACCACAGGCTTAAATTTCCGAGCTGACCACACCTTTCCAATTTTTCTGTGGGCAATGTGCTCAATTCATTCCCTTCCAGTACTTTCCACGTGGAAAATTTCTCCTCTCTTACAAGGTAGCAAGTGTCAATCTTCTTTGTCCCTTGCTTGCTTCTGTCCCCACTTCTCTGACGATCTTCTGCGTGGGGTCTTGTGGTCTGAGGATCTGCTTTATACGGGCTTCTCTGCAGCAGACAACTGATTGCAGCCTGAGGTGGTGTGTCATCAGATCTGAACTTGTTTGTTACTGAATTTGCCCAAATGATTGGGAGTCCTTAGCCTTTCTCTCTCCCCACCCACTTTTCAGTTTAGCTTTCTTTATTTTTAGGCTGCTGTTGCTTGGTAAAATGCCGCTGGGGGCAGGAGGAGCATTTTAGTTTTTGTCTTTGTTTCTCACCATCTAATTGACAACAAATTTGTCCACACGTTGAGATTGTTTTGCCCATGACGGTAATTGGTAAGGCATCTCCCTGTCTTTATCTCGACCGATGAGCTTTTCATCTTATTTCCTCCCCCTGTCCCGTTGAGAAGGGGGAGTGGGAGAGGCTGGGGGGGGGTCTGGCAGCTGGCCAGCCAAGGTCAGCCCACCCCAGCAGCTTAAAAAGATGCCCCAGATTTTGAAGCAGCAGGATCTGTGCTTTGCTCTGAAATTCACATCCCGTGCTGCCTGTTCTTTCCTAATTCTGTGATTATTGGTACAGTGATTTGTATGAATGCTGCTTTGTTAAACAAAGTCAAAACAAGAATGAGGACAATTCATTTGGCTGGGGCAAAGAAGTGGAGAGTAAGGCCTTTCAACAAATCAGGAGGAAATCTTTTTATTCTACTAGCATGTGATGTAAACAGCATGGACATAGCAGTGTACTTAAAACTTAAATAATTTTCGTATGTGTCTGAGAGATTTATTTCCAGTGTTTGACTTCTAACGATTCTAGTGCTGTCTTTCCACAATGTAGGAAGAAGAATTTAAATGGCTTTTACAAGAAGAGGTCCATGCTGTTTTGAAACAGCTGCAGGATATTTTGAAGGTAAGGTTAATTTGCTTCATCCGTTTTTTGTGTTGTGGATTTGTTTGCTCTCCCATGTGAGGAATGGTGGTAGATTTCCCCTGGAGGAAAAAATTCTTGGTAGAGGGTGCACATAAAGGTCTGTCACGCATGTCCAGTGCCGTCGCAAGTGTTTGCTTGCCCTCTGGTCTCGAGAACTCACAGTAAAGCTGATTTCCCCTAGATTTCTCTGTTCTTGACCCTCTTTCCTGAGAGAGAGCTGCTTTGAAAAGGCACGTGGAGGCACCCAGACCTGTCTGCCAGGCATTTGCCTGAGATTTGAATATTTTCTGGACCTGAGAATCTGGATCTGCCTGTAACTCTGTCATGTGATGGTGGAAACAAGCATGATAGCCTTTAGCTGACAAGCAACTACTTGTGCAGTAATTAGTAGCATGCACTCTCCTCATTCAAAACCATCCTTCCCTCGATATACCTACTTCTCTGCTGGTACCTGCCCCTTTCAGAGGTGTGAAGTGTTCAGCTGAACCAGGCCTGCAGCACCTTTCGCCAGCCTGAGCATGGGCTGCCGGGTTCGGCTCTTTCCGGGCAGCCTGGTGGTGAACTGGCCAAAGGGGATTGTGTGCACGAGAGTTCACCGCTCTCCTGCTAGGTTAGTTTTCAACAGGCCCAGCCCCTTAATGTTCTGAGATTTCAGTGGGGGTTAGGGGGTGATGCAAGAGCAGGGGCAAAAATGTGGAGGTGAGGGGGGGGTGCCAGAGGAGGTAGGAGTGCCGTAGTGCTGACCCAGGATGTGACTCAGTAGCAGGTGACAACAACCTGCAGTATCTGTATATATAGTATCTGTTTTGAAGAATTTGCAATAGTTTTAAGGGTGAAGTGTGATTAAAGGATAGTCGCCAGCCAGTATAACGAGTCAGGAGTGTTCGTTTTCGCTCCAGACTTCGCACGTGGGTAAGGGACCGGCGGTGCTTGCGCTGTGCAGCCTGGGGGTAGTGAGCGTGCTGAGAAAGGGGCAGCGCCACGGTGCCCGAGGGCATGCAGGGCTGGGCTGTGCGGAGTGCCGCTCCCGCTGTGGACAGTTTGCCGACCCCTGTGGGCACTGGCCGTGTCACCCAGCTCCGGGGTGTGGAGCTGGAGCGTGAGATTTCTGACGCCTGTCGCCATGAGCCGCACACACTGAGCCTTCTCCTGGGCTGGGCCTGTCCTGCAGGAAGACGAGGGAACATCCGTGTGCTCTGCTAGGTGGGTCGCAGGAGGGTCGTTTCTGCTCTTGCCTTGTCTTTGTTCCTGGCTTGTGGTGCGCTGAGCCTAGGTGGACGCTCCAGCACTCACTATGTCCTCTCTTGGGCAGGAGGCCTCTCACCGGTTCGCCCTGCCCACCAGTGGCTCGGGAGGAGCCGTCAAGCAGGAGAACTTCGTGCTGAGCACATCGGGGTAAGTGGTCATGGCGGCCAGTGGGTCGCTGCTGCTCTGCCAGGCGCGCCGGGGCGGGGGGGCCCCGCCCCTGCCGGTGATGCCGGTGTTTGTGCCGGGGGCTTCCGTCTGTAGCGAAGGGCGCTGTTCCTTGGGCGTCTGCGGCAAAGGTCTCTACAGCGTCCCCCGAGTAAAGGGGTTTCCTTTAGCAGGAGATTTTGCCTTAAGGACAACAAACAAACAAACTCTCATGGCAGTAACAGTCTGTAGCCATGTTCCAGGGGCTGCCTTAGCCAGACTTGTGCCGTTTCCTTCTGACACCTGTAATATAGTCACTGATTCCTGACCACACGCTGGTGTGTTGCATCAGCGTGCTGCTGTCAGCAGTTTTGCCAAGGGGCATTTTTCTGATTCTGGGCGCAGGGAGTCGCAGTTACAAGACCTGAATTCTGCTCTTGGCTCAGCTTCTGACTCTGACTGTGGACAAATCTTAACCTTTGTCCTCCCTAAAATAGCAATAATAAATCTACTTCGCACAGAGCAAACTGAGACCTGTGCAGAAGGTGCTATAGAAGTGCGGTTCTTCTGAAATAGTTGTTCATTTTTTGATCTTCAGCATAAGCCTTGGTCTGAATAGCTGCACTCTGGCTGAGGTCACAAGCTTGTTGCAGAGTAGGAGACCTTAGTCCTTAGAAGCAGCACGGTGAATGTTTTATAGAATGGTGCGATGATTCTGTATTGGGTTTGAAGGTTGCATTCTTCAGATCTTAAAGTATTAAAAGTTGATTCTAGTTTTCATTCATTGTTGTTGCAAGATAGATCTTAAAAAGCATTGATCTAAAAGAGTCTGTCTAGTGTATTAAAATGTAAGGTATGGCTAAACTAAGTTCTTGAAGGCCCAGGTGCTTCAGTCTTCCCCCACTTCATTGTAGAGGTGAGCCATCTTGCAGGACCTTTTAAAGGGTTTGGTGTGTGGTTTTTTTCTTTATTTAGGGTTTTTTTTCTTGGGGGTGGGATTTGTAGCTTTCAGCTCCCATATGAATCATGTAGCCCTCCAATGTCAGTAATTCATCTAATATCTTGTGTTTGTGCTTACTAGAGCTGTTGGTAACTGCAACCACATTGTTGATAGGTAATACATGAAATAAGCATGGGATCAGAAATGAACGTAACGTTTTAGGTACAGCAGTTAGGGTGAGGTGGTTCATAAAGAATATGACAGCAGCTGGCCACAGGCCAAGAGCTGGGGACTTGAACGGGTGTGTAGAGCTCATCTGCATCCCCCAGCTGACCCCTGGAAGGAGGGGAACGTGGCTAGCTACATGGGACAGGGAGGGGCGGTGTCAGGTTGGCAGTTTTGGTAGGTGTCTCTTGCCTCCTGTGACTTGCGTTGCCCAGATCTTTCTTCTCATTCCAGCACAGACCAGGTGAAAGGTGTGTTGACGCTGCAGGGAGATGCCCTGTGTCAAGCTGTGAGTACTTGCCGTGGTTCTTGCTTTGTACTACCATCAAGGGGTGGGAGTCATCCTTATCAAGGGAGAGGTATTTCTTATTATGCTTTACCAGTGACCAATAAGTACTCTTTGTTAGTCTTCCCTAATAGGCCTTAAATCCTTAACATTTCAGCAACTGTTGAAATTTGTCGAGATCCAGCATCTAAACCCCCCACACACACACACTCTGTGGTGAGTGGTGGAGTTTACTTCCATGGGGATTCCTTGCCTTTACCGCCTTTGTTGTGTAATATGGGGGCCTTCTGAGATGAGGTTGTGTCTCCTGCCTGGATCCTGATTCACTAAATGCCTTTCAACTTATCCTTTGTATTCGCATCTTCCTGTAGGAGGACTGAGGTTCTGGCTGTGCAGGGACTGCTGAAAGCAGCTTGCCAAGATGGTCTGGGAGACAGAATGGAGCGGGACTGGCAGTCTCCATGTTCTGCATATGGGGATTGCTTGCTCTCACGTGTTTGTTTCTTTCTTCAAGGATGTTAATCTGAAAATGCCCAGAAATAATCAGCTCCTGCACTTTGCATTTCGGGAAGACAAGCAGTGGAAATTGCAGCAGGTACTGTTAACTTTAGATGCCTACTCCTCTGTAGCATCTGCACCCTCCAAGCAGTAGCTGTAGCCCCTTGCTTTCCGAGAGAGAATGTTATGTCCATTCCACGATAGCTCCAGTGGCAAAAGCTAAGGGAAGAAACAGATGCAATTAAGTTCAGTTATGGTGCTAGGAGAGAGAGGTGGGTTCTGCTTGTTCCTGAAACATCAGCGAGCTGAAGGCTGTCTGCATAGCAGTTATAATCCTTTAAAAGGAGTGCCTAGGGTGCCTGTGCAGTACTGGCCTTGTGTCTGCTTGTAAAACCCAGGCTAGCAGGACAAAGAACAACTTCAGAGGGTTTGAGTAGCTTGCTCTCATTCTCTTGCAGAAGCATTTCTTTATGCTGAGAACAGATGTCACTGCATTGTGCTCTTGTACCATAGCTGAGTTCCCTCAGTTAAGGAGTTAAAGGGATGTGGCTATCCGGAACATTGAATCTCTTTCCCACCATTTTGCTGGGAGATACCTGATTTCAGGATCTGATCTAGTGCCTGATCTTGAAGACACAGTTTCCCACAGTTACTTTGTCATAGCTGAGTACGTTGGAGAAAGATGTATTCCATGTGTTTCACTGTGCCATGGCTCAGGTTTTTCTAGGTGATCAGTGCATTTGGTATTGAGTGCAGTTTCCAATGGCTGCTTTGGCAGTGGAGTGAAAGCTCTACCTGGTAACTTTGCAGAAATGTAGAAAATTGTGTACTTGAGATGTTAATGCCAAACTCGACTGAGTTTCTTTATGCCTCGCAACAAGGCAAGGAAATTTTTGTGATAACACTCAGCAGTGCATCCTATTTTGTGGCTGTTTTGTACTGCTGCCTGGTTGATAGGCTTCTACCAGCTTTTATGAAAAACACCTTCCTTTATTTACTTGCAAGAGTTTTGTGTTCTAATGTTGTTCAGATGTGGAACGTGAGTGCCTAAAGGACTCTGTGCGGAAGCATTTACAGTGATTATGTGGAGATCTTTGTCCTGTCTCCATTAAAAATGAACATCTCGAAGTATTGTGAGTTTCTTCCCTTAGTGAGTGGTGCCAGCTGGAGTTTTGCTTCTCTGTGCAAAGTAAAGTCATCGGTAAGAAATTGTAGTATAGGCATATTTTTGAGGAACACAAGTGCAGCCACACAAGTCTTCAGGAACTTGATTAGAAAACAGAGCAAAATCAAGGGGGAATAGGAATGAAGCAAGTCCTTCTAATAGCAGGATTGGCATTGCTGGGTTGGGTAACGCTGCCAAGGGTAATTTAGCTTGCTCGAAAGCATCTGGGAGATGTAAAGGCTGGAGGTGGTGATGTTTGGAGATGCCATAGCCCAAGTACCTGCAGAGTCTCTCTGCAGTCTGACAGTGGACTTTTATCATCTCTCTCTTCTGTCTGTAGCCTCCAGTGCCTTGTGCTTTCTAAGAGCAGGGCTATTCTGTGATCCCTGAGCTCCAGATGAGAAGGAACCAGTGCCCATGTCTATGCCAGGGAGGCCTCTACAAGGCTGAGCTGGGATCTGGGGTTGCTGGGGAGCAATGTAGATGTATGAAACTACAAATATCCCAAGCTGTGTTATCCATCTCCCAGCAGCCACCTCTCATACAGGCTTCCCTGCTTATGTTTTCCATTTATTGCACCCTCTGATTTACCCTTTTGCTTTTTTCCAATTTTCCTGCTGCTGCCTGGAACTGAACCCAAGTCACTTTCTCTAAGGGCCGTTTTCTTCTTCCTCTGGTTTGTCCTTGCTCCCGTGAAAGCAAACCTATCAACCTTGCTTTGATAATTGTCTGCTGGCTGCAAGCAGTCTTGCTTGAGAGGGACTTGAGCTAGCTGTGTCCTGAGTCTGGTCAAGTTCCACACAAGTGGTGTGATGGCAGCTTCTTGATGCTGGAGATAACTTTCAACCCCAACAATTATAGTTTAGAAGGACTCTGGAATACTGCCCAGAGACGCTATATTAGAAATCAATGTTTGCTGCTCATTTCTGCTATTGATGTAATTTACACCACTGGTTTTAGCTCTAATAGTTCCTAAGGAAGAAATCATTATTCATGTTGCTAGACCTGACTGCCTGCTGTGTACCATCAACAGTGAGAATTCCTACCTTGAACAGTCATGATCAGAGTCCTCCCCAGGATGAGAGTGCCTGATGTCACTGTTCCTTCAGGGCAGCAGCAATATTTTTATTGACAATCCAGGTTGTAGCTATCAGACTGTTTTGCATCTCCAGTCCTTGAGTGAAGAACCCAATAATGCATGTGGGCAGCAGTAGTAGATTTGTGTTAGTGAGTGTCGGGTACTCAGAGAGAAATGGCCTTAACATTTGAGAAGTCACCATTTTCTTAGGGGCAACGAAATAATCAGGGAGACCTGTACTTCCTAGTGTGTGTTATAGAGAGTGTTTCTTTGATATGGTGTATTTGTACCTTTGCAGATCCAGGATGCTAGAAACCATGTTAACCAAGCCATTTACCTGCTTATGAACAGAGATGTAAACTACCAGTTCAAAACAGGCTCGGAGGTTCTCAAGGTGAGGAGAAAGCCCTCTCTACCTGGGTGGGAACGTGCATTTTTCTTCCCTTCATTTGTTGTTTTAAACACAGTTAATGCACATTACTGTCTTCAGTCTCTTACTGGAAATGGATTCCCCAGTTGTAGCCATATGTACCTGTGTCAAGGAGTATCCATGTGACATCATATTTGATATGAATCTATACCAGTTTATCATCAGTAACAGGGTTGTACATCATGGTGAATGGTAATCTGAGTAGTCGGTGCCCTGTTGCACAGCAGTGATATTCTGGGAGCATCTGGATATTCTGGGAGCCATTTCAGCGAAGCCACCGAGGCGAAGGGCTCCGAAGCGGAGGATCGCGCCGGGGGACCCTTCCTGAGGTGGCAAAACCGCGGCAAAACCCGCAAGAAGGGAGCATCTCCCTTGGTCTTTTTTGGATGATGTGGTTACACAGCTCATGCTCTTCCCTGTCAGTCAGTGCTTTTGGGGAGAGAAGAAATGAGGCAGTCATCAGCAAACAAAAGATTACAATTAGTACTCATGATTTACTGACGATTTGAAAGTGAATTCTCACTTGCTAGTAGTAGTTGACGTGGTCTGATACAGACCAGCTGCTGCATGGCAATAAGGCCCAGCCCTCTGCTTGGAAATGCTCTCTGCAGCTACCAGAGTTTCGACTTACTCATTCGAATCCATCGCAATATCAAACATGAGAAAGCTAAACCTTTTTAATCTCCACATGGGCAAGGGCTGCTAATTGGAAGAAGCTAGGTAATAAAACTATTTCTTTTTTACTTTTGGGTGGAAGTAGGGGGTAGAAATTAGTCATAATATAAAATACCTTCATCTTAGCAGTCGTGAGCTCTATAACAGACATATGTTGCTTCCCACGTTTTTTTCTGGAAAAGGAAATCTGCCTGAATAGAGCCTTTGAAGTGTAGTTTCTGGCAGGATTGGACTCACAGTGAGCTGGTTCTTTTCTCTAGTGCCCTAGCTCTTAGATGGTTATGAACTGGGGGGCCCATTCAGCAGTTGTTGTACCCGTGATGTGGGAATGGGGAGAACTAGAACACAGCTGCTTGTTTTTCCTTAATGCCTGCTCTTCAGGAGAGCTGATGATGAGTTTGTCAATCCTTCTGTGGCATCGGTAATTGATCTCATGTTCTCTTCTTATTCTTCTAATGAATAGCTGTTCTCTCTTCAGTCCCTGGTATTAAACACTCCTGGCCTGTCTCACAAGTGTCTGTGACGGTGGTAACAGTTAAACTGCATTTATGTGGGAGCCACCCCTTCCCAATAAGTCCCTGAATTCCTGGAAGGGCTGGGGGGTGGTGGTGGTGGTTGTTCTTGTAACACTTGCAAAAGGCTGTAGGATTCTGCAGCACACCATCCAGAGCTGTCCAGGGATCGCCACTCAGCAGTATACTGTATGTTATCTTGTAGCTTATGGATGCTGTGATGCTACAGCTCTCAAGAGCCCGAAATCGGCTTACCACTCCAGCCACTCTGACTCTACCAGAGATTGCCTCCAGTGGTCTCACAGTAAGTATGTGGTGGTCTAGATCTCTATACAGTCTGGCAGCATGCAACGGTTAGGATATTGTGCTGCATTCTGGTGGAAATGGATTTCTGAAGTGCCTCCTGAGGCAGAAAGAGGGAGCTCTGAAGTAGGTGCAAAGCCAGAGCATTTTTGGCTGCTCTGTATCTTCCTGTGGGAAAGCAGATGACTTGGGCATGAGGACTCTGGTTCTCAGAGGGTAAGTTCTGTTCTCTGCCCACGAATCTTGTCCAGGGATGATTTGCCCTTGTGAACACTGCTCCATCCTCTTTTGTCACCATCATGCACACACCATTTGATCAAGTGCAGCAAGAACAACCATTGCCTGCAAGCTGCTGAGTCTTTGTTTCTTTCTTAATGTCCCTCTCATTATGGGGTAACTGTAGTATGGCTTAGAAAAAAGGTAGTGATTTCCCAGCATTAGAAATAACGGTCCTTTCACTGACAAAGAAACTACTTATTTTCTCACCAGAAAATGTTCACCCCTGCTCTGCCTCCAGACATCCTTGTGAATTTCTATATTAACCTGAATAAGCTGTGCCTGACCGTCTACCAACTCCATGTGCTGCAGCCCAGCACAACCAAGGTGACGCCTGCTATCTCTTGAGCCTTGTTTATTTACCTCTCCCTACGTCTCACTGTGAGGAGGAGATCGCACTGCTACATGGTGCAATGTTATATGCATAAGATAATGCAGAAATGACTGTAACTGGTGTTAAGTGTCTGTGTTTAGATCTGCTGCAGACACTGGCTCTAAATCTAGTTTGGGGTATGGCCACTTAGCCCAGAGTAAAACACCAGTGCTCTGGGAGAAAGCCAGTAAATATTTTTTGCCAAGTAATGCTTTGTCTTACAATATAGTTTGATAATTTTATGTAATTTTGGAAGGGCATAATTGTATTAATCCAGTTTACATCGAAGAAGCATCTTGGGTTTTCTGAATGGAGTTTTGATGGATATTTTTCTGCTTCACCTGTTGCATTTGGGTCAGCTTGATGTCCTGTAAATACAGAATTAAACTCTTAAGCTTTATGAAATGCAGTCCTTCCATAAGGATATTTTTCCTAAAATCTATCTTTTGTTTTTCTTCTGGATCTTCTCATCTTATTTTTGTGGTGCTAAAATTTGGAGCTAAGTTGGACTCAGCCACTGTGTAGAATTTTTTTTTCATGAAGGAGCAGGAAGGGATCAAATGACATGGATTCCATATGAATGGAGTATTCAGGCTGATACAGTATAGGGATTTCTTGATGTCAGGCTACTGAAAGTGCAAACCTTAAATGTCCTCCTCCTAAGTAGTTTGTTTACTGTGTCAAAATTCTAATGACCTTTTCCTTCTCCTCTAGAACTTCAAGCCTGCTGGAGGGTCCATTTTACACAACCCTGGAGCCATGTTGTAAGTACGGTCACTACAAGGGCTGTGTAACAGGTCTAGGAGTATGTTGAGGATGAGGTGCAAATGGATGATTATAGCATCTGTTAAGTGGAGAAGCTGGACTGAGTCACTTGCTGTGGCTGTGCCTGTGGATGCACAGGTGCCCATAAGTGTTTCTTTAATGAGTTGGTCATAGTAAGATGTGGCTTTTCAGGATACGGCCCACCCATACAGTGCCATGAGTTTGTCTAGAGATCAGAGTTGTCAACCAAAATGAACATTAGGTTATTGGCATTGCCATCTGCATTTCCTGCCTTTGTGCCTCTCTGGAAAGTGGTAGAGTTTCTACCTTAACCCGATTAGATTTAGCTTAACTCTAAATCTGGTCAGAGGTAGACTGAGAGTTTGCATTCTATAACTTTGCCAGGTGCTGTTTTAAATGTAGTAGAAATCATAATGATCTCTTCTGTGAGAACGGAGGACAGTTGAGTTTTGTGTTCTGTGCTGTTGTGCGTGAAGCTGTGCTCTTTTTTTCCCCCACTCCAGTGAGTTTGGCAACCAGCGATATGAAGTCAGCCATGTCCATAAAGTGGAATGTGTTGTCCCATGGTTAAATGATGCCCTTGTCTTCTTCACAGTTTCACTGCAGCTTTGCCAGCAACTGAAGGACAAGGTAATGGTCTCAGAGTTTGTTTTTTAACTCTGGATTTTGAGAGGACCTCAGATCTCCTAAAATCTGATGTGATGTTATTCTGTACAACTTACATATAAGCTGAAAACAAGCGATAAGTCAATGCTGTGGAGCCGGGGAGCTGGCTGGCACTGCCTAGCAGACAGCCATCTGGGATAAGTGTAGTAGTGTGGCAGATGTCTTTGCTGAACTAGTGACTAGATGGAAAGGAGCAGGTAGACACTTTTGTGTTCTCAGTCATGAGCTGGATGTGAGGAAATGCCAGGGTGCTGGAGAGGAGGCATGGAGACCTCGCAAACAAGATTGCAGTAGACCAGTGTTCGGTTCCAGCTCTGCAGCTCACCTGGCTGCCACCTTGAGCAAGTAACTTTGGGCTTAAAGCCTCTTCAGTGACAATAGCAGCAAATCTGCCCTTCTGCAGTGCAGTGCTGGAGTGTGTAATGCTGTAAAGCTCAATCTTCATGCACGCATTATATGCTCTTTCTTCTATGGCCCAAGGGATACAGGAACTTATTTGCTTTTCTTCTTGCTTTCCAGATCTCTGTTTTCTCCAGTTACTGGAACTACAGGCCATATTAATTCTCTGTGGAGTGTCCAAGCCCTTACAGTACTTCCAGTGTCTCTCTGTTTTCAACATGCCAGCTGAGTCCAGGTCAGCCTGAGGAGTGCTGTGGTTCACTATCATATGGCCCTCCATAGGGTAGGGTCAGCATATCCAGAGACACAACTTTAGTAGCCTTGTCTGGGACTGCTCCATAAGCAGGGCACCAAGCAATGCTGTGTGGTTCGCAAGAGATTCCACCTGTCTTTGTTCTCATGTGCGTTGTGTGGCTTACACTTTCCAAGCCTCTGATGAATTACACTAGTCCATTACAAGGGATGCGGAGCTGTGGACTACTCTTACTAACTGTATTTGCACACAGTGCTGTAACTAACTGCTGGACTGAGCTGGCTGGGAAGGGATGAAGACAGACTAATTTAACACACCACAAAAAGTGTAGGGCATGTTGCTCCATGTAGTGAAATATGTTGCTGTGGTCTGGTCCAGCTGTGGTTATGACTAGCCCTGAGTTTCTCCCTCTCCTATCTGTTCTGTCCATGCCCATGTTACTGATTCCCCTTTGGGGATATTCTTACTTGCTGCTGTTTGAACTCTTTTTTTCCCTGGCATCAATGTGATAATATTTTTTTTTTTCCTAAGCCCTAGTGGGGCCAATTGGTTTTTTCCAGGTTTAGTATCTTGTTTTCACTGCCAGCCTTTGGAGCTGCTTCGGTACCTTGAGCACAGCTGTGCAGTCTCACATCCTGTCATTAAACCCAAAGTGAGTACCACATTGTTACTATGATTTGCTGCCTACCTATGGATGCTACAGTATGTAACTCACCCATCTAGCCGTTGATAACTATGAAATAAAGATCCTCAGACCTGCCATGCTCCTGTGGGCTGTCAGTGCTGAGAATGAAAGAGTATCAAAGATTATGTGCTCTCTTACAAGTGAGTCGCTGTTCTTAGTTATGCATGCTGGATTACTGTTTGCCTTACTGGGAGGACAGTAGTGGTCTCTGAGGGCAGAGCTGGGCAGCCCTTCGAAGGCTGGGCGTGGTTTGTGTAGCCTCAGCGCAGTGCTTTCTGACACCTGAGTACTACCTGAAGTACTTTTCCAAACTTCCCATGATGGTCACAGCCCCTTGGAAGAGGCTGTAGGTACTGAGACTGGGCTGGGTTGGCTCATGGAGCTGGCTGTTAAGTGATGAGGAAGCATCACTTGTCTCCTGCTTGGCTCCAGCTAGCCCTGTCCAGCCTGTGTTTACGGTGGCTTTCCTCACTGGAGTACCTTACCCAAGAGCCTACATGTGTGCTGAGGTGAAGACTGCAGGCTCACCGAGGTCCCTAAAAAATATCAGGGCCGTTGGAGCCTATCTTAAAAGCATGGTTGGAAAACACCAGGATCCTGGTATTTTCCAAGTGCTATCCAGAGCGCTGTGCTCAAAAGGAAGAGATCACAGAATCACAGATTGATTTTTTTTTTTTTCTTTCCCTGCATAGCCCGCTGCTCTGGGCGTGTGTGGCCTACCTTGTCTGTGACCTCCCTTTCTGTCCCTTTGTGAGATCCCTGGGATCCTGAGTGCGTTAGTGCCAGCCTTGTTACTGCTGCAGCCTCCTTCTCTGAGGGCTTGACACTTGGTGCTGTGCTTGGTCTAACACATGCTAGTATTGCAGGTCGCAGGCAGTAACAGAGCCTTCAAATGAGTATCAGGCTGTGACTGATGGATGTGTGTGTTAGTACGTCATGAAAGGTGGACGGTACAGAGGCCTGGATGGGCAGACGCAATAGCAGACTCATTACTGATTCCAGTCAATTAGCCGTATGATTAGCTGCGGTCATGACCCTGGGTATGCATTTACTAAGCCTCGCTCTGTTCCAGACTGTTCTCTGCTTAGAAAGTGATTGTGCACGCGTGGAACTGCTCACCATTAACAGCTTCTCGGATGAGAGTATTCTTATAGTTAATAACTTCTCTGGAGCTGTCTGCGCTCTTCTTTAACCCTCCCTGTGTGCGCAGGAGGCTCCTTTTTTAATTCACACTAGTGTGTGCAGTCCAATCAATGTTGCCACATCCTCTGCAACTCAGCTTCCTGCTAATAGGGTTATAACATGCAACCCAGTGTGTGTTGTTTTCTTCTGATGAAAATAGTCGCCTTCAGTTCTGGAGGGCAGGAGTGTGCAAAATAGAATACCTGTTTGGCTTCCAGCTCTGATGCACAGTGGCTGTGTCGTGAGGACTGCTAGGTGGCAGTGGTAGCTGCTACAGGACACTGCCTAGGTTACTGTTACAGAAGAACAGGGTAACAGCAAGGTAGGTGGGATTCAACAGGAGAGGCTGGCCCGAAGCCCTGGGCTGGTACCCCGTGATTTGAAAGATAAAACAAGGGTCCACCAATTAAAAGACCTAACAGTCTATCTCTTTTCCCCACAAAACCTCTTGAGCGCAGCAGAAAATTTACAAGGCCCTAAGGGCTCTGCTTTTTCAGCCCAGTGAGGTTGGTACTGGGATAGCTACTGGCAGCCCACTCCTCCCTTTGCAAATGCAACTCAAATGTGCTGTGGGCCACAATTTTTGGCAAGTGCTTGGCAGCAGAAGGTGTGTGAGAAGTTTGGGCTGCTCTGCAATACTGCAAGGGCTTTTGATTGGTACATGCACTGATAAATGCTGCTGTGCGACTGGAGCAGAATGCAATGATCAGACTGTCTGCCTTTTCTTGGGCTGGGTTTTTATTCTCTTTTTTTTTTTTAGCTTCCTTTGGGGAAGCTATAGTTCTCAGGAGCAAAACCTTTCCTGGTGGCACCTTTCTTTTTCCCTTTTGCCCAGGGAATCTCTGCTTAGTCTTCAGGGGATAGAGGTCTGCTGCTTAGACCCACTGGCCGCCTGCTTTTGATGGGTCTAGCAGTTGAGTTGCTGCTGCCTGTATGCTGCTGGTTCTGGAACCACAGAAGACACTGATCCATGGGCCTCTGCTGCTGAGCTTCTACATGCCCTTCAAAAAGGAATTAGAGTTGTCTGAACTGAGATGGAGAAGATACATGCTGGGTAGCTTTCAACAACAGCACTGCAGCAGGGTAACGACAGAGCAGAACCACAGACTAAGAGAACAATGAAGAAAGTTTATTTTATGGTTGCCTCTAGTCTGTCTCAATCTGAGCAGCTATTTCTGCATTGTCCAGAGAGTAGTGACAGACAGCAAGCAGAATCCCATGCTGCTCTTCCCAGCATCTCAGCACTGAGCAGACAAGAAAGTCTCCTTGCTGAGCTCAGCTAAAGCTAAATGTTTGTAAAGATAGAATCATTTTCTCCTGGAGCTGGAGTTGAAACTAAAGGTATTTGTGTGTGCTGATGCCAGTCTGCTCAAGTATTGCCACTGCCAGGACTTGCTTGGAATTGCACCTAACATCCCTGGCCTTGTCCTGCCTTCCAGCTATGGTGGAAACATTGGAAGGGCGTGTACCACCACTCCCATTTATGAGTGCTTGACTGCCTTTCAGGGTGCTGCCTTCTGGAGTTGGTGTTCTCGGGACAGAATTGGACCTTTCTTGTTCTGTATGTGCCCCAGCAAAAAGGGTCACCCTGCTGCCCCATCATGGCATCACCTGTGGGGACACAGAGTATCGCCCTAAAGCAGAGGGACTATACCAGTTGAAAACCTGGGTCCACCTGGGACTGTAAGGATGCTAGGTAAGGAGGTGATGCTTTTCAAATTGGAAGCATTGCTAATCTTCAGAATGAAGCACAAGCATCCTCTGCAAAGGCTGTAGGGAGGAGGGAGTCACTGCTCCCTTGCACAGAGCAGTTTTGTCTTCACATGCTTTTCTGTCCCCTGGGAAGAGTAAGGCAAATTGTTTCTGAAGTTGATGCAGCACATAAAGGAAGCTGGATCACTGATGACATGCTCCAAATGACTGCAGGGACTAAAAGAGTTCCCAGAAACTGTGGCTGTGCTTTGAAGCATCTTCAGAGCCTTGTGCTGCCTCTTAATGGATGTTCACAGCCAGGGACAGTGCTATGCTTCACTTTCAATCCTGCTGGAAATTACGGAAGGGCTGGAGCCCAAAACCCTGAAAAGCAGCATAGCTGAGCCTCCCATTCAGTCATCCCAGAAGGGATCTTAGTGTGAGGATGCTCCACAGCATGTTTTGATGGTCAGCAAGTGTGAGCTTGGAAAAGGATTCCAGCCTGTAGCTGGAGGGAAACAATAGTTTCTCCTACTTTCTCCTTGCCCTCACTCCCTGGTGGTTCCCATGGCTGCTGGCTCTGCATGGGGGAACACCTATTCTCCACTTTGGCTGCAGTAGCTGAGGATGATCTGTGGCTTGTAGCTGAAAAGTCTGCATTAAGGTACTGAATCTTACGGGGATTGTGGGGTGGACTGATTCAAGTGGGTGTATTGGCCTAGGATGGCATTGCAGGTACCGTGCAAGGGGTTCGCATTCAGCCATGTACAGAGAATAGGAAGGGCAGTCGCTGAGGTTGTAGAGAAGGATGGAAGTAGCTGGGCAGCTCTTGGCACTCAAGGTGAAGATAGGCTGATTTGTAGGTGCAGCAGAAGGAAGAAGCAGGAAGAGTTGTTCTGTCCAGCCGTGAGATGGAGGTGGGTTTAGGGCTCCATTGCCAGGTTGCCTATGCCCGCTTTCCTTCTGGGAATCTAGTTGTTTCGGAAAAGGATGTGTCATTGTAAAGAGGAGGGGAAGGAGTTTGCACACGCATGAACACACAGATTATAAATAGTCTCCATGCTTTGTCCGTGCTTAAGCCCAGGTACCACTTCCCTTCACCAGAACAGTGCAAAGGTCCTGGGCATGTCTGTGCCTGCTCAAGCACATCCAGCCTGCGCTCTCTTCCCCATCACCTTCCCTGTGTGAATGTCCCCCCTTGGTGGCTGGGCTATGTTTCTCCTAAGACATGAGTGTGTCTCTGCAGGGGAGAGCAGGGTCTGTCCAGTGCTCTGCCTGCTTTCCTCCCCCGCCCCTCCCATTTCGACAAGCAACACAGATACTGCAGGGCTGGCCTCAGCCTTGGGAGCTCCTTTGTGTCCCAGGTCATTCTTGGGTGAGTGGGCTGGGTTTCATCACCCTGTGTTGTTTTGGGAAGTCGCAGTCGCAGCGGCAGATAAGTGCCAGAAGCAGCAACAGAAGCACAGTCCCTGGAGAAAAGTGAGCCGTTGCATCAGTATCGGCCTCTGTGTCTCCCTGTTAGCACTCCGTGTTTCAGCAAGTGCCCTCTTGGCTGTCTGCTCCCTTTTGCCCGTTGGCATTGCAGCACTTTGCATGAAGTGCTGTACATCACACAGGACATGGCAACCCCACTAATGCCATCTGAGCCCAGGCTGGTCGGAACTGTGCTGGTGTTAGGCAAGGTGGTGGCATGGCTATGAAAGTGGTCTTGTAACCAGGGGAGGTTACACAGGGAATGTTTCCTCCAGGCCCCTGTATCTTTGCTGGTGTTGCTGCCCTTGCCTGCTGAATCTAAATGGAGTGGCCGCACTCTGCCATTCTTCCTCCAGGGCTGTGCTGCTGGGGGGGCTGTGTGAGTTGCTGGAATTAGGGCAGCTGCCTGCTGAGCCCAGCACCGAGAGAAGCTGTCTGGCACACGCCTCGTGCTGAGCTATGCACTCACCCACAAAGATGAAGAAGATGGCAAAAGCAGCAATGTCCCACTCAGTCTCAAAGAACCTTTTTCTTGCCAGCCGGCTCAGGAAGTTGTGGATCTCATTTTCCAGGTCTGGGCTTTGGCTCGTCGTCTCAATTTCTGCTCAGAGCTTATCCAGGTGGCTGACCTGCTGGGCTGCAAGACAGCCCCTGCTAGCAGGGGGGAGTGGAAGAGAAATGCAGCCACGCGCTTCTGGTCCCTCATTGGAGGACGCAGGCCATCGCCTGGGGACAGGGTGATCCTTCTAA